CCCACAAACACCGGGGACCCGGCACTGGACGGCTCTCCCCACAAACACCGGGGACCCGGCACTGGACAGCTCTCCCCACAAACGCCGGGGACCCGGCACTGGACAGCTCTCCCCACAAACGCTGGGGACCCACAAACACCCGGGACCCTGCACTGGACAGCTCTCCCACAAACACCTGGAACTGCTGCGGAACACATGCAGGTGAGTGCGTCGGGAGACCTCAGAACTGTCTTGGAGGGTGTGACAGCTGCAGGGGTGGGAGGGAAGGCGGGAAAGTCGACACCCCAAAGCAGACCCCATGGGGAGGGCGTGGGCAGAGAGGGAGAAAGGCAGCTGGTCTGTCCAACAGGACTTGGGGAAGAAAAGGAAAGCCACCCTTAAACAAAGCCTGTAAATCTCATGCATCTGGAACTTGAAGGTCCTCCAAAAAGTTAGATCTAGACCTACAGAGTTCTAGTCCTGCTGAGTTCTAACGCTGGTGAGTTCTGGCCCTGGTGAGTTCTGGCCCTGCTGAGTTCTAACCCTGGTGAGTTCTAACCCTGCTGAGTTCTAACCCTGCTGAGTTCTAATCCTGCTGAGTTCTAACCCTGCTGAGTTCTAACCCTGCTGAGTTCTGGCCCTGGTGAGTTCTAACCCTGGTGAGTTCTAACCCTGGTGAGTTCTGGCCCTGCTGAGTTCTAACTCTGGTGAGTTCTGGCCCTGCTGAGTTCTAACCCTGCTGAGTTCTGGCCCTGCTGAGTTCTAACCCTGCTGAGTTCTAACCCTGCTGAGTTCTAACCCTGCTGAGTTCTAACCCTGCTGAGTTCTGGCTCTAGAGAATTTGGCAGACACAAAACAATAATTCTTTAACCACTTTGCCAGGAGCTGCAGGCCCCAGGTCACCAGAGGGAAAAAGTTTCACTGAATGAGGTCAATGAAAACTTACAAAACACACAAGGAAGCAAGCCACCATGAGTGACAACCCCAGGTAAGTGGTTAAAGCTCTGAGAACGTGGGGTAATCGGACATGGATTTGGGAATGTGTAACCAACTATCCCCGTTTTCCTGAGACAGTTTCTTCTGCTGACGTATAACGCAGCCACGGAAAAGGAGGAAGCTGACACAGGCTTCCCCGTGGACAAGCCTTGACGTCGTGCTTCGTGAAGAGCAAGTCACAAAAGACCCCATGTTACGTGACCGCATGTGTGTGAACTGTCCAGAAGTGGCAAATCCAGAGGCAGAATGCGAATGAGGGTGGCTGGGCCCAGGCTGAGGGGAAAGGGGCGTCCGTGTGAGGGGTGCGGGGTTTGTGGGTGAGCCTGGGGCTGAGGGGAATGGGGTGACTCTGTGAGGGGCGTGGGGTTTGTGGGTGAGCCTGGGGCTGAGGGGAATGGGGTGACTCTGTGAGGGGCGCGGGGTTTGTGGGTGAGCCTGGGGCTGAGGGGATGGGGTGACTCTGTGAGGGGTGCGGGGTTTGTGGGTGAGCCTGGGGCTGAGGGGAAAGGGGCGTCCGTGTGAGGGGTGCAGGGTTTGTGGGTGAGTCTGGGGCTGAGGGGAATGGGGTGACTCTTTGAGGGGCATGGGGTTTTCGTTTGAAGCAACGAAACTTTCTGAAACCAGAAGAGGTGCACATTGTGAAGATGCTGGAAAGATTCACAAAGCACCACACCGTGAATGCGCTCGATGTCACTGATTCGCTCGTTTCAAAATAATTAGGCTTACATTTTGTGCATCTTACCCCAATAAAAAATTAAATTAGGCCGAGCATGGTGGCTCACGCCTGTGATCCCAGCGCTTTGGGAGGCTGAGGCGGGCGGATCCCGAGGTCAGGAAATGGAGACCGTCTTGGCCCACATGGCAAAGCCCCGTCTCTAATAAAAACACATAAATTAGCTGAGCGTGGTGGCACGTGCCTGTGATCCCAGCTACTCAGGAGGCTGAGGCAGGAGAATTGCCTGAACCCAGGAGGCGGAGGTTACAGTGAGCTGAGATTGTGCCGCTGCACTCCAGCCTGGGCGACAAAAAAAAAGAAAAAAATAAATAAGCGGACGCCCGGTGGCCGCTCTGACTTAAGTGG